ACGGTGGTGACTTTAGAACTGACGGTGGTGACTTTGGAACTGACGGCGGTGACTGTGGAACTGACGGCGGTGACTGTGGAACTGACGGCGGTGACTGTGGAACTGACGGCGGTGACTTTGGAACTGACGGCGGTGACTGTGGAACTGACGGCGGTGACTTTGGAACTGACGGCGGTGACTTTGGAACTGACGGCGGTGACTGTGGAACTGACGGCGGTGACTTTGGAACTGACGGCGGTGACTTTGGAACTGACGGCGGTGACTTTGGAACTGACGGCGGTGACTTTGGAACTGACGGCGGTGACTTTGGAACTGACGGCGGTGACTGTGGAACTGACGGCGGTGACTGTGGAACTGACGGCGGTGACTTTGGAACTGACGGCGGTGACTTTGGAACTGACGGCGGTGACTGTGGAACTGACGGCGGTGACTTTGGAACTGACGGCGGTGACTGTGGAACTGACGGCGGTGACTGTGGAACTGACGGCGGTGACTTTGGAACTGACGGCGGTGACTTTGGAACTGACGGCGGTGACTTTGGAACTGACGGCGGTGACTGTGGAACTGACGGCGGTGACTTTGGAACTGACGGCGGTGACTTTGGAACTGACGGTGGTGACTGTGGAACTGACGGTGGTGACTTTGGAACTGACGGCGGTGACTTTGGAACTGACGGCGGTGACTTTGGAACTGACGGTGGTGACTGTGGAACTGACGGTGGTGACTTTGGAACTGACGGTGGTGACTGTGGAACTGACGGCGGTGACTTTGGAACTGACGGTGGTGACTGTGGAACTGACGGCGGTGACTGTGGAACTGACGGTGGTGACTTTGGAACTGACGGTGGTGACAATGGCCTCATTAAAACATACAACTAAAACTATATAACTCAAGTTAATGGTTTCTTACTTATGATCTTTATGTAACTTTTTAAAACTATTGAAAAAATAACAATCAGGAGCACTTTGACAAACATTCTTCAAGGAATATAAGGTACATTTAAGCAATATCATTATTAGAAGTACCCCATCCCCATATCATCAAATATAAAATCATCATAGTAAAAGATAAAGTCATTAGCAGTAGGAATAATGTTCACTGCATCAGTGACATCACGTTAAACTGTCCTCTACTCCCAGCTGCCTCCTGCATGGCCTGATCCACTGGACTGTCTGAAGCAGTTTCTGGGTGATCTGAGCTTTTCTCTGACATTCGTTTGATGTCTACGTTTCCAAGCCTTCCTCTGACTTCTCTTCCCTTTCATTTAAGTCATTGATTGAACTGGGTCACCGATTTTTTTTTATCTTCCCCTCCTTCACCAAAGTTGAGTGTAATGACTATGAAATTGGGGGTAATTACAGTAAATGTTTTGGTTAAATGTTGGTATGCTGTTTTTATTAGGCTTTAGTCATAGGAGATGCACAGCTTACTGGGGATATTATAAACTATGTGACATGTAGGTCGGTAGTAGGCGCACTATGTCCATCCCATATGATCTAAGCTACATGAACATGGCATGATAGTGAAGTGAGAGAGGGAAGGCTCACCTCATCCCCCTAAATACATAAACATAAATAAAAATATAAAAGAGGTTAATGAATCATTACAGATGAACAATTATATTCCAGCCTCCATTGAGGAGCATTTGTAGGTTTTTTCATCACCGTCAGACAGAAAACGACTCTTTCACATGATTATGCGTGAGTTGTTCACATCAGCCATCTTGTTTCCCCCTCTGTTTCTAGCTACTTTAGACCTCTTCTTAAAAAGTAAACATTTATGTCATAATTTAATCTAATATTTGTTGACATGTTATGGTTGTGACATTAGCAGTGTTGCAAAATATGAACAAATTAAAGAGAAAATAGCAAACTTACAGGAGCTCGAGTGAACTTGAATCATGCAGGAGAGCTGAAGATTTGAAAATGGGGTCCTCAGGAATGTAGCTGACCTGAACTGCAGTGATAAAGACGTGCTTGAGAAAAAGCAGGTCTGGTTGTATTTAATTTAATCTACATCATTTTAACCAGAAATGCAGAAAATGTCAGACCTGTAGCTCCAACAGCTCCAGAGCTGTGGGGGTTTGAACCTTTGGTGTCTCCAAATCGACCCACATAATCACACTAAAGCTTTTTAAAACATTTCTGAAGCAAATATTTTCCTTTTTTTTTTTTACAGAATCAGTGCATATAACAAAATGCAACATTTATAAACCTAAAATCTATTTAAAAACCTGCTGCTTTTCAAGCTAAAATAAGCCGCAGCGTCTTTTCTGAGCCGTATTTTTATTTTTTCAGCCTTCGGCTTCGTAATAAAACAAAATCAGCCTCCAAACTTGAAAAACATCGCAGCGCTGTCAGTAAACGGGTTCCAGCTGCGCAGCGATCAGCCTCTAACCGCTTTAATAATAAATCTCATTTAACAATCTAATTTATCTAATCAAACATTTTCATCCTGAAGCTGAACTGAAAATATTTAACAGCAGTTTTTCAGGCTTTAAGATCAATAAATATTCTGATCAAATTTATGAGAAAAATTAAAAAGTCTGGAAACAAAATAGGTTAATTTTAATGATAAAATAAGTACAATTATTTTTGTAAAGTGACTTATTTTTATTCAGATTTTGACTAAAATGTGCTTCTAAATCATTTGCCTTTTTTATTTATACTTTTCTTTGAATATTTGGACTAAAGCTGCGTTTAACCCTTTCAGTAAAATCCAAATTATAATAATTAATCGTCTTATTGGAATCCAGGATAAGACTTTATTATCTTTGGAACATTAAAAAAATATGGATATTTTGATGGTAAAAATTTATGTCAATATATTAATAAGAAACGACAAATTCCCCGAATATGTTAAGAAAAATAACTAAAGTGCTTCTAGAAGAAATTGATTAAAAACACTGATTTTATTTGGTCCAAAAAACAGTTTTTAGCTTATAAACCTAAATAGAATTGTTTACTTTTATTAACTTTTACTTTTCTTTATGTTTTTCATCATAATCTCCTGTAGGTAATATATAATTTAAAGGCTGATCTAATTGGTCAAATAAAATAAAATGTAGAGCCATGTAGCAGGATCTGTGCTGAATGGATGGATATAGATCTAGTGCTTCTAGACCTCACTGATCAAACACGCTAAATTTAATGTTAAATGAGTTTCCGTCTCTGAAGCGTCGCTGTTTTTAAATTCTGCTGCATCCGTCGGATAAACGGCCGTTAATCAGATCAAAGCATCAGAAGTTTTTCTTTCTTAAAGTTATTTTATTTCATCAGCAAACAGAAAACCTAAAAACCTTCATATAGAATAAAACATTGTCTGATTTTTACTTTCTGGGACTGATGGAATTTGAAGCGGTTAAAACGGATGAAACGACTTTAAATGCAATTGTTCATTTTTTTCCGTTTTGGTTTAGAAAACGTGTTTGATGCTAAAACTCAGCGTATATTTAGAAAAATCTATGAATCTAAAAGCAGTGGTAGAAATATGAGCTGTTATGTTTCCTGTTCAGTAATGAAGCGTTTTCTTCATAAATTTAATTATCTGATTAGAAATCAACTGATTAAACCTCAGAGCTGCAGCTTCTCTTTTTAAAGATTAGTTTTATTAACAGAAGCTTTTCCAGGTTATTTATGGCGTTTAGCAAACATTTACACTTAAACTGAAAATTGCATTTTATAAAACAATATATATAGTCTTACAGACATCGCATACAAGAAGGAAGATTTTAGATTTTTAACACTAAACTAAATATAACAGAAACTTTCCACCCTCCTTCTATCAGGCTACATAAGTGAGGAAGTTCTGAGTCTTTCTGCGGCGCTAATTTGAAGCCGCCGCAGAAAGACTCGCTGCACCAACGACAGCTGGGCCCCAGATTTTATCATGTTTTTATCACATTATATAACATCTTTTTTGGGTGTGCAGTAAGATTCAAGCTCTTTGATGCATTTCTTCACTGTTTTCGCAATTAAATGAAAGTACTTTTTGTAATAACTGACATTAACGAGGCCTTTAGTTTTGTTTAATTTGCATTCCTATTACCCTTTAAAGCGTTAAAATAATCAAACATTTCCTAAATACTTTTATTGTTTTATATGAATAAGACCCCCATCAGTCACTATTGACCTCTGACCTCTGGAGGAAATGTTACCGTCTGTTTTATGCAGCCTGTAAGGAGTTTAATCTGTCCTGTTTCTGTCCCGTGTTCAACTGTTTCCATTGATGACATCATATATAGCAGATATTATTCCTGCAGCTACATTTCTTTGATGTTTTATTATAAATGTTTTAAAGGTTTGACCCTTCCAGGCTCCTCTCCTCTGAGGCGGCGCCATTAGAAAGCTTTCTGCTGATGCAGCATCACTCTGATCAGTTTTAATCGTTATAAAATCGAAGCGTTAAAACTTTTAAAGCAGATTGAGGCTCATTAAACCTGGACGTCTAGAAGCAGAACACGGACGTTACATACGTGTGAAACTGCCTCTGCGGTCTTTATCATTTCCTGCTCTTAGCCCCCCCACCCAGAGCTGAGATAACTCTGAGTTCATCTCTTCTTCTGTGGTTTTCTTATTGGTGTGACCAGAGATATGAAGGCGAGCTCCCTGGAAGCGCGATAAGCTGCTGGTGACTTCCTGTGGTCAGAGCATCAGGCAGGAAGTGTCTTCATCAACTTTTGATTAAGAACCTGTCATGGTGCCGTCGGTCTAACCCAGCGGACCTGGACTCGGATCGGGTCTCCCTATAAAGTCTTGCTCAGAAACAGAACCTTTTTTGGACCGATCCAGAACCTGTTTGTGTTTCTACCTGTTCTGGTTTCGGTTTAGCTGAGCGGCTTTGAAAGTCTGCCGAGGTTTCTGTGACACACACACACACACACCGCCCACACTGAACCGCACAGCGACACACACCTGTCAGCTAATGAGCCTCGGCGCTCAGCAGCAGCTGAGGAAACCGCTGAGCTGCAGCTGAACGTTTGTTCCCTCTGACCCCCACAGAGGCGCTGAGCATCTCCGACCCGCAGCTCTGCTACATCCTGGACGGCTTCCTGGGCCTCTACGGCCTCATCATCACCGGCATGTTCATCAAGGAGAAGGTGGGTCGGTACCTTCCATGTCATCTACCTGTGGACCCCCCATTCTGGGCTCCAGGTGGGGGTCCGAGAAGGACACCCTGACTGTCATTGATTTCCTGTTGATCCTGTTCTGTTGCAGTTCTTCAGAACCAAAGGAAAGGGAGGAGAGGACAACCTCTACGCTGTGAGACCCCCGTCTGATCTATGACTCTAGTGATATCTAGAAAGCAGAGCTTAAACCGGATCCGACCGGTTCTGAGTCGTTCTGTCGACCAGAACAACCTGCAGCAGCATGGAGGTCCATCCTCCGCAGCAACCTGTCCTTCTGGCTTATTAGGCTCCATGGTTGCATCATGACGGCTGCACTAATCCAACGTTACCATTGTTCACTGGTTGCCATGACCACTGCGCATTTACACACCTTTCTGTGTGTAGATCAGCTATATTGTTCAAGCATGTATACAGTTCCAGTACATAGATGGTTCCAGTACATAGATGGTTCCATTACATAGATGGTTCCAGTACGTAGATGGTTCCAGTATGTAGATGTATCAAGTTGATAAATTGATCCAGTTGGTAGATGGATCCAGTAAATAGATGTATCCAGTAAATAGACGGATCCAGTTGATGGATGGATCCAGTATATAGATGGTTCCAGAACGTAAATGGATCCAGTAAATAGATTGATCCCATGCATAGATGGATCCAGTTGATAAATTGATCCAGTTAATAGATTGATCCCATGCATAGATGGATCCTGTTGATGGATGGATCCAGTAAATAGACGGATCCAGGTGATAGATGGATCCAGTAAATAGATGAACCCAGTAAATAGATGGATCCAATAAATAGATGGATCCTGTTGGTGGATGGATCCAGTAAATAGACGGATCCAGGTGATAGATGGATCCAGTAAATAGACGGATCCAGGTGATAGATGGATCTAGTAAATAGACGGATCTAGTAGATAGCTCAATTGTTGATCCACTGGTCCTAACTGGAGCGTTTCCTCTGCTTCCAGGGTCTTACCCGGCCCACCAATGACACCTACGCACCTCTGAACCCGGATCCAGAGAGACCAGATGTAAGTGTCGGGTTCTGTGGTGGTTCTGAAAGTTCTACAGTGACCCGTTAGCATGCTTATGATCGTGTTTGTGTTTCCAGAAGCGCAGGCAGAACCGCGTGAGGGAAGATGACACGTACACGGTAACGATCCAAACGGTAACGCTGCTACGGACCTCAGGTTTATATTCTGTAACGGTTCGGCTTCTGTTTGCCAACTTTAGGGTCTGGGTCCACGGGCTGATGCGACCTATAAAGAACTTCCTGTTCGGAGAGAGCGCCAGAGGAAGAACGACCAGGTCTACCAGGTGAGGACCGCCTGACTCCGCCCATTTTCCTCTGACCAATGGGATCAAACTAACACCTGATCCTTGCTTTCAGGGTCTGAGTGCGGCCACCAGAGACACCTACGACGCCCTGCAGATGCAGCCACTTCCCGCTCGCTAACGTTCCGCCCCGATTCGTCCTCCATGAACGCGTTTGATCCTCCGCTTCGGTTCCACGACGTCGAATCCAGAAATTATCCGATTTATTACTGAAAATAACCAATTATAGCATTTGAACGAAGTTTTAACCGAGTCCAGAATCTGATCTAAGAAGTTTGATTCGTTGTGTAAATAAGAGGAAACATGCTAACTGCTTCTTCCTGTGAAAAAGAAGGTTAACGTGGGAGAACTACGGAAACCCAGGAAGGACAATATCTGTAATAAAGTCAGCTTCCATGAGTAGAACTAGAATGACCGACTATCGTTTGCTTCATGCTCCTATAATGATCCATACTTCAGCTTGTTTTAGTTTTCTACAACTTATTTTTTTTTTAATGTTTGATGATATATTATTGTTTTCCTGAGAATTTCTGTCGTAGCGTCGTTATGAAAGTTGTCTATATTGTCTGAAGATATGTAATCTTTTATAGATTGTTTTTTAATCATTTCTGCCTCTTAAATAAAGCTTTGAACCAAAGGAAAGTTTATCTACAGTCATTGCTGCCTGCTGCCACTAGAGGGTGCTGCTGCTGTTGGTGAGACGTCTCATGCTTTGAGCTATTTAACAGGAAGCCAATGAGGAGAAGCCAGGATAGGAGAGATATGATCTCTCTTTTTCATTTTCATTAGAACTCTGGCTGCAGCATTTTGGATCAGCTGAAGGCTTTTAACTACAGTTTGTGGACTTCCTGATAGTAAAGAATTACAATAGTCCAGCCTGGAAGTAACAAATGCATGGACTAGTTTCTCAGCATCAGAAGATGTAGAGATGAACAAGAAGCTGTGGAGCAGCGGGATCAGAACCAGCTCTGATTGGACCTCTGGGTTCTGAAGCTGAGGCCTCAGAGGAAATGAGGATTTGGAAGAGAAATGTTCAGTCGTCACGTTGATGATGTCATGGGTTCAAATGTTGGAGTCGCTGTCTGGATAGTTCAGAGAGGAAAGGAGGTAGGAAGGAGTTCAGAGGGTCTGGGGTTCAATTCCTGACCAGAAGGATTGGTTTGATAACATAAACAAATTTAATGTTAAGATCAGCAATCTGATCAAAGGTCCAGACTCTGATTCCTGCTGAAAGTCTTTATTTATCAATAAAGTTAATCTGAAGATGGAGGAGATGAACAGGTCGAGGTGTGGAGGGTCCAGTGTTCAAATCCTGCTGATGCTTATTGGATTAGAATCAAGGTTAATATAGAAACTGAGAGGGTTCAAATATACCGTCATTTTCATCACCTGTAAAAGTTAAAACTAGAATTTTACATCTATGTTAAGAAGGAAAACCAACCTTAAACAGAGGGGGGGGGGGGGGGGGGGGTGATTTCAGCTTTCTAAAACCTCCAATGCAGCGATAGAGTTGATTCCTTCCCGCTATCATCGCAGCTCCAACCCCTTTACAGGAGAACAGAAGACCTCGCCTATTCAGCCAGGCCAACCATTCCCTCTAACCCCCCCCTTTCAGAGACATAGACAGGTATGTGGCATTGCAGGCTAACAAAGAAGCCAAACGACCCCCATTCCAAAGGGGGGGACCCGTTCATCCGTTTCTATTTGCATGTTTTCTAAACTAAAACCAGGCTTTGTTGGGCTGCTGGATAAAACCTGGAACTAAACGCTATTTCTGACATTTTGAAATGAAAAATCTTCCTGGATGGAAGAGAAACGTCTTTAAACCTGGAAACAAAGTCCAGAGGATTGATTTTTAGTTTTTTTGAAAGTGAAAACAAAAAGATAAAGCCCAAATAGTGACAGGTATCTACATTTAAAACTGAATAACAGGTGAAGAGTTTTATATAATTCTGTTTCTCATCTAAAGTAGGAAGATGGTTCCTCTGCCTGGTAGCTCAGAGAGAAGAGATGCTGGTTTAGAGTTTAATAGATCCTGAGTTTAACTCTGAAATCCCAGAGAAGTTAACAATAGAAAAAAGAAAAATAGAATCCCTATAAAGGTTAAGTCCTTTTATTGGCTTTCAGAGTGAAAATAGAATCAAAAAGATAAATCCGCTACGAGAAGAGGTTAAAGTGTGACAGGGCCTCAGGTGTGATTGTTAAAGCATCGACTCTGAAACTAGCAGATCATGGGTTCAAATCCCACTATCATCTTTTTCCAATTACTGTAGTAGAAAGAAAAAGATAAATGCGCCCGGAGAAAAGTCCAAAGTGTGGCAGGTGTCATAGCAGAGTGGGATTGTCTGCGACCGTAAGGCGCCAGTGGTGCAGAGTCTGAGTTCAATTCCATCTGTGGTTGATGTAGCCTGGAATTCCCACTGTGGTGGGTCAGGGAGGGGGCCGTGTCCCCTCCCTGACTTCCACAGCAACACCTGGAGGAGGTTATACATCAGGAAACAATGTCTGACTAGAAGTTTTAATGACAGTCAGAAAAATAGTAAAGTTATGTTTCTAAAACACTAACAGTATCTTTTAACAAAACTTGAAAATGAACCACTTGCATTATATACAAACTAAATAGAACATTTACTACAACATTACTTAAGAACAGATTTAACTCATCTTTATTATATAGATAAGAAGATTAGACAACAAACAAATGCTGAAAGAACTCTAAGTCAACATGATTAGTTAATTGGATGAATGTTTTAGAGATGTAACCTTAGCATTTTACTGTTTATAAAGTAATGTAGTAAATGTTCTATTTAGTTTCTATAATGCAAGTGGTTAATTTTTTAAGTTTTGTAATAAACTGTTATTGGTCTTTTAGACACATAACAGGTCGTTAAAACTTCTAGTCAGTCCTTGTTTCCTGATGTATAACCTCCTCCAGTTGTTGCTGTGGAAGTCAGGGAGGGGACACGGCCCCCTCCCTGACCCACCACAGTGGGAATTCCAGGCTACATCAACCACAGATGGAATTGAACTCAGACTCTGCACCACTGGCGCCTTACGGTCGCAGACAATCCCACTCTGCTATGACGCCTGTCACACTTTGGACTTTTCTCCGGGCGCATTTATCTTTTTCTTCCTTCTACAGTTGGAAAAAGATAATAGTGGAATTTGAACCCATGAGCTTCTAGTTTTAGAGTCAAGGCTTTAACATCCATGCCACACTTTTGGACATTTGGTTTTTTTCTCCGGGCGCATTTATCTTTTTGTTTGTTCTTCTACAGTTGTTGGAAAAAACAGAAGATCAACTTCTGAGAGATTTGAACTCGTGAGCTTCTAGTTTGAGAGTCAATGATTTAACAAGGCTGCCATACACCACATTCCCTGTCACAGTTCAACCTCTTCTTGTACCTATAAATTAGTTTCGCTTTAAATTTTCACCTTAAAAATCACATAGTATGTATCGAGATTCTAAGTTTTATAAGATTCAATTCTCTGAGACTTCAAAGTAGTTTTGATCTTAGGAGCTTCAGGTCCAGGTCTGGTTGTTTCCACCACTGGACCACTGGACCCTCCACGCTTTGACTTGTTCTCATAGCAGATCTATCCTCTCAGTTTCTACATTGACTTTGAGAATAGATGAGTTCCCCACTACACCATTCAACCTTCCTCACTTTGACTTAAAAATTACCGCTTGCAACTAACTAAATGTTCCATTTACATAATCATTAGTTATACTTTTGACAACTTGAGTGCATATAAAAGAAAATCTAGTTGAAGCAGATACTAGAAAGTAAAAAAGATCTTTATTGATTATGGGTTAAATTAAATTATATTTTCTCCTTCTAAAATCTGACAGAAAAATAGAACAATATTCAGCGTAGTTTGATGTCAAACAGGACATATGTTGAATGCAGGAGTACAGTATTATTTTAATAAAGCAACATCTCCAATTACCATCAATAAGATCCCAGATTACATCCAATCAAACAGTTACTAAACATTATATGTTTTAGTTCAATCCTAATGATTGAACTCTGATGTTTTCTTTATAACAGATTTAACTCATCTTTATTACATAGATAAAAAGATTAGACGACAAATTCTCTGCATCCAGTCTGTTCCTCTGCTTGGTTTGGATGTGGCTCCCAGCTGAAGCTGAACTCAAACATATAATAAAAATTTACAGTTTGGTGATAAAAGCTTGTTTGACTTAAAAAAGATTAAAGCCTTATTTTATTTTATTTTATTTTATCTGAGAGATCAAATATTTTCCTGCACTCCCTGCAATACCCTCTCGGACCACTAGGGGGAGGCGTCCTTCCAGTTGGGAAAGACTTTGATGAATAAACAGGTTTGAGTTTTAATTTAAAAACAGATGAGCTGCTTTATGGAGGACCATATTTAAAAATCAATACAGAAATAAATAAATGCTCAAAAAATAAATAAGCATAGAATTAATTGCCCCCAAAAATAGAATAAACAAATAAATGTAGATAGAAATGAAATTATACAGTGAGACATAAATGTATATATCTCTTTTAATTAGTCTCTTTATTTATTCTCTTTTGTTATAATTACCTCATTTATTTATTGTCCATTATAATCTTCAACTTTATTTATTTATTACTTATTTCTTAAGTATTTATTTCTGTGCATGCGATAATGTTTTTGTCTGTATTTTTCTTTCTTTGTATTTTTTATTTTTATTTCTGCCTCATTATCTTCTGCTCAACATCAAATGTAACAGTTTTACATTTATATCCACACTAATCAGATCATTTTATTCTCAAACAGTTTATTGAAAATGATTAGAACAGTTAAAGCTTAATGCAGCTGAAGGAAGAACATTAGTCCAGCTGTTCTGGGCCGTTAATACTGCAAACATTCTGCTTTAATACTCAATAATGTAAAGTTAATTTACAGTATAATAAAGTTTAAAGTATAATTCACTTGAAGAACAAAACCGTTATGAGCTGTAGAAAAAACAAGACAAAAATATTTACTTTTATTCAGTCATCTATCTTTTTTCATTGTCTTTATTACATGATTTATTAGAAATTAAATTTTACTTCATCTAAATCCACTATTCAACTTTTTTTTTCGCATTTTTATATTTAGATTTTT